ACAATGCCTATGTAGGTCCACGTCGTATAGACCCCAATATAACGGCTATATTCGGTATTTTTAAAATTTTAACAGAATTTTTTAAGGATTTTATTTTTTGAAAATGTAAAAGTTCGTTCCAAATGGTTGAGGATATTAAAAGCTCGGCCCGGCCAAACTTACTGCTTTTTAATTTGTTTTAAATTTTATTTGTTCGAATTGGTCACCTTTGGCACGAATTATGCCTTCAAACGGACAATGAAACCGTCACACACTGCCCGAATGTTGCTCTGCGTTATTTTGGCCCCTCCCCGGCGAAGCGCTTGCTTAAGGTGGTCGACACTTTGGTATTTTTCAGTGCCAACCTTGCATTCCAAAATACTCCAGACACAATAGTCCAACGGATTGGTATCCGGAGATTTTGGTGGCCGTTGTGCGCTGGAACTAAAGCGAGGAACGTTATTTTGTAACCATTCTTGTAACCGAGCTCATTTTTCAATATTTGCAGAATGGAATATTGCGACATGTTCAGCTCACGAGCCATTTTTTCGGCCACGATAGCCACTTGTGGTTTTCCAGCCAAATATAAAGAAATCACACTATCACTCTTGAATTCCGTCACGCATAACTTTTTTCCTGGAAAATTCTCACCAAAATGCTTTTGGTGAGGCAGCAGTCTGAAGTTAGTTTGTAGTTTTTTCATCTCATCCTGTATACCAGAGGGGTGGGTTACCAAAAGGAGTGGACCGATATAAACCATCTCCGAACTTTATCTAAGTTTGAGTTATCGTGCGCACCAGCGAACCAGACAGACAGACGAACGGACATCGCAAGATCGTCTCCAAATGTCCTGAAACGGTTTTGGTCTAAAGTGACCTACGGTCTAAGATCGTTTTTTCGACTAGACACTTTTTGACCGCATCAAATGGTACATATACCCTCTCAAGCCATACGACTGAGGGTATAAAAATCTTTTAAATGTTCGTTCAACATTTTGAATTTTATACCCTGGGCACATCGGTGTCCACCACTATTGCATGCAGGGTATATGAATGTTTTTATTTCGTTAATAACACTTTGAAAAATACACTTTCGATCCCACCAATATATATGTGATCTTTATACGTTTTTCGACTTTTAATTATACCCTCTAACTTGGAAAGGATGGTATATTAACTTTATCATTCCGTTTTTCGACTTTTAATTATACCCACCACCTTGGAAAGATGGTCCGTCTGTCTATCTGTCTGTTGAAATCACGATACAGCCCACATTATTTGTCGTAGAGCGTCAAAACTTAGCAGAAGAAAGTTTGGTATAGCTCCCATACCCACATCCCACATCCAGATATTCGGTATTTTGATGAGTTTTGCCAGATTTCTTCGCTGATTTCTCTAAAAATTAGTATTTTTGAGTCCCAATGGGTTCTAGCTCCGTTACCGAAATATTGTATGTATAGGTTCACGTTTTTGTATAGCCCCATATAGCGGTACCTCCCGAAATTCAATATTTTGATGATTTTGTGACATTTTCCCACGAATATGTCTAAAAATTGGTATTTGTGGGACACAGTGGGTTCTAATGTTTCCTTTACCCTAAGGTAGAGGGTATTAAAATTTGGCACGGACGAACTTAATGTGTTTTACTTGTTATGAATATACGTTGTTGCTTTGAGAACCGTTTAAATGTAAACATCCATAACTTGCAGACTCACTTACCCTACATAAGGTATTTGAAATATTCCGTTATTTTTATAAGCATCTTTTTAATGAAAAAAAAACAGCTTAGGAAAATATTTCCTTAAAAGCCCGACAGATAAAAAATGCATTACAATTTTCATTATCACGTTTGTGTCTTAAGTCATTCGTTTCGAAAAAACCCCCTTTCGCCGACCAACTTCATTTCACAAAAGAAAATGTCTTCTTTATCTGCATAACGATGGAAATAAATGCATTTCAAGAATTAAACAAACAAATCAAAATCAATAGTCTAATGCCAGACGCAACAGCAACAAATGCCTTGGCTGCCCCACACACACACACACACACACAAACACACTCTAGCTCGCTGGCTCTTCATCTGGCCACCTCAGGCATATCCTCCTTTTGTTGCTCTTTATGTGTGTGCACTTTACTTAGCTAATTGTGTTTGCTTTTTGATCACGCAACAGATACAAATGGAAACGATTTTCAATGACTGTGAGAGAATCCGGACACCGGTTGATCGGCTGGATGGTTGGTAAACACAGAGATTTCAATGAAATTGATAAAAGTGTCTCCAGTCGTTTTGAAAACATCACTCAAGTCGTCGTCGTCGTCATCACGGACATCATCGTCGGTGTGTGTGTGTGTGAGTGATGGTGGTTAACTTGCGTATCTCAATGGTTGTTGGCAGCACCCAAAATGATGTTGTGGCCCAAGATGCTGCACTTGAAGTAGGAACAAACAAACATTGACAGCGTTTTGTTGTAAATCTCCAAACGACCAAGAGCCAGCCAGTTGTTAAATCCCATAAATAAACCATTATTTTCTTTCAAAGAGTTTTATGCATTTTTATACCCTACACCACAAGGTGGTCAGGGTATTAGGTCTTTGGGCATTTGCTTGTAACAGGCAAAAGGAAACGAGATAGACCCATAGTTCCTTTTGATGATCTGCATAGAATCACATTCTGAGTCGATTTATGCATGGTCACTCTGTCCATGTATTTTTGTGAACAAAGTACAGATCGCATTTATTGCCCGATCCAGATGAAATTTTGCACAAGTCATTTCTTTGACCCAAGGACAAACCCTATTTAAATTGGAGATAATCGGTAAAAATTTAGATATAGCGCCCATATATATCTTCGTCCGATTTGCCTTTTATTGTGCACCAAACGTGTCTATATCAGCCCGAATATTATGGAATTTTGTATATACAACCAAGTTAGGCCTGAAAATAAATATGCCAAATGTGATCGAAATCGGTTCAGATATAGCTATAGCTCCCATATATATTGTTCATCCGATTTGTTATTTTAGTCCTCCGCAGACGTAATATGCACTCTGTAACAATAATATTTGGAGAAATATATCAAATACAGCTCAGAAATACATTTACTAAATTTTATCGAGATCAGTTCAGATTTGGATATATCTCCCACATATAACTTCGTCCGATTTACCTTTTATTGTGCACCAAACGTCTAATATTTGCCCAAATCGGATGAAATTTGGCACTTACGACCGAATTGAGTCTAGAAGCTAGTATGTCAAATTTAGTGAAAATCGGTTCAGATATAGCTATAGCTCCCATATATACTGTTCATCCGATTTCTTATATTTCTTACCCACAGCCGTAATATGCACCCCCGAAACAACGATATTCAGGGAAATATATGAAATACAGCTCATAAATATCAGAATATAAGTTTTATCAAGATCGGTTCAGATTTGGATATATCTCCCATATATAACTTCGTCCGATTTACCTTTTATTGTGTACCAAACGTCTAATATTTTCCCAAATGAATTGAAATATGGCACATGCGACCGAATTGAGTCTAGGAGCTGGTATGTAAAATTTGATCGAAATCGCTTCAGATATAGCTATAGCTCCCATATATATTGTTCATCCGATTTGTTATTTTAGTCCTCCGCAGCCGTAATATGCACTCTGTAACAACCATATTTGGGGAAATATATCAAATACAGCTCAGAAATACCTTTGCTAAATTTTATCGAGATCGGTTCAGATTTGGATATAGCTCCCATATATAACTTCGTCCGATTTACCTTTTATTGTGCATCAAAGGTGCAATATTTGCCCAAATGGGATGAAATTTGGCACATACGACCGAATTGGGCCTAGAAGCTAGTATGTCTAATTTGCTGAAGATCGGTTTAGATATAGCTATAGCTCTCATATATACTGTTCATCCGATTTGTTATATTTGTTACCCACAGCCGTAATATGCACTCCGTAACAACGATATTCAGGGAAATATATCAAATACAGCTCACAACTAACTTTGCCAAATTTTATCGAGATCGGTTCGGATTTGGATATATCTCCCATATATAACTTCGTCCGATTTACCTTTTATTGTGCACCAAACGTCTAATATTTGCCCAAATGGGATAAAATTTGGCACTTACGACCGAATTAAGTCTAGAAGCTAGTATGTCAAATTTGCTGAAGATCGGTTTAGATATAGCTATAGCTCCCATATATACTGTTCATCCGATTTGTTATATTTGTTACCCACAGCCGTAATATGCACTCCGTAACAACGATATTCAGGGAAATATATCAAATACAGCTCACAACTAACTTTGCCAAATTTTATCGAGATCGGTTCGGATTTGGATATATCTCCCATATATAACTTCGTCCGATTTACCTTTTATTGTGCACCAAACGTCTAATATTTGCCCAAATGGGATAAAATTTGGCACTTACGACCGAATTAAGCCTAGAAGCTAGTATGTCAAATTTTGTGAAGATCGGTTCAGATATACCTATAGCTCCCATATATGTTGTTCATCCGATTTGTTATATTTGTTACCCACAGTCGTAATATGCACTCCGTAACAACGATATTCAGAGAAATATATCAAATACAGCTCAGAAATATCTTTGCCAAATTTTATCAAGATCGGTTCCGATTTGGATATAGCTCTCATATATATCAAATGGGCAAAACAAGTCCGAATTTTAAAGATGCTTCGGCATATTTAGTCATTTGAACTTTAAATTATAATCATAGCGGGTATGATTGAATTCTCCCATAAAAATGTTTAATTGTTATGCGGAGCTCTACTAAATTAGCAAAATGGTGTAGGGTATCATAAAGTCGGCCCCGCCCGACTTTAAAACTTTCTTTACTGGTTCTTTCTTTATTTTTTGAATTTTGTTTAATCGTGTGTGTGTGTCGTTTAGGATGGCTATTTCCATGGCACCCAACCACATTTTTCCATTTTTTTTGCCCATAACAACCATCGACAGAGTTTAACATTCGTTTCTGATCTTGTTTTCCAGATATCGACGAATGTGCCGGTGGACCTTGCGAGCATGGTGGCACTTGTATTGATCTAATCGGCGGTTTCCGTTGTGTTTGTCCCACCGAATGGACAGGCGATGTATGTCAAATGGATGTAAACGAATGCGAAATGAGTTATCCTCCACCATCGCAGCAAAAAAATGCCGGAGTGGCCTCCTCGTCCAGTTCAAGTACTTCATCGTCCACTTCATCCACCTCCTCGACCCTTGGCAATTTTACATTGGCCAACATGATGGGACCCTGTGTAAATGCCCGCCAATGCCTTAATCTGCCCGGCTCGTTTTCATGCGTTTGCCTTGAGGGTTGGGGTGGTCCAACGTGTGCCACCGATTTCGATGATTGCGTGGGCCAATGCAAAAACGGTGCCACTTGCCGAGATTTGGTTAATGATTATCGCTGTTTGTGTGCAACTGGATTTACAGGTATGTATCGATGCAACACCAAAAAAACAAATGCAACAACTTATCTGCACAAATCGATGGCCAACCAGCCATCCGGCTAGCCACAGAGGAGGCTTAATCAAATAAACTATTTTTTTTTTTCTTTTGCTCTCGAAACAAGTGTAGATCATTTTGCCAGTTCAGTTGGTTATCGGTGTGACGATTTTGTTTGTTGACTTGGTTTTTTGGTTGGCTTTCTGCTTTTAAGAGGATTTTGAAAATGCCACACGGTATTGCATTTGCCTTTTGGCGGGGATAACGACTTATTTGTGTTGGCGTAGTTGTGTTACATTTTAGCCGGATTCCAAATTCATATGTTACTCGAATTGGCTGTGAACTGAACTGAAAGAAAAAAATCTTAAAATTTGAGAAAATATTCGTAGTTGTTTTAAATTTTTGACTGATTAAGTAATACTTGTTTTTTGGGGGAAAACTTGAATTATTTTTAGGTGAATTTAAATATTTGTTAATGGGTATAGTATGTCAAGGTGTGGGAAGAAGTCGCTGAAATGGTTTAAATAGAAAATGTTTAATTTTTAACCTACGATTTTGTAAATATCAGAATCGCGTTTTAAGAAGGTAAGAAGAAATCCTAAAAATGTTTTCACAAAAACATATGAATTTCGGTCATTAAATCCCTTACAAAATTCTTGATTTTCACTAAGAAGTCCTTGAAAAAATCCACAATTTTTGGAAAGAAAACTAAAAATAAATAAAATAATATAAATAAAATAAATAAATAAATAATAATATTCTTAAAAATTCTACGATCAATATTTTCCTAACAAAAATTGAGGACTCCAGCCCTATATCTTCACCCAATAGCAAATATAGTGCCATTCAGTACTTTTCGTACAAATATAGTGCACATTTTCGAAACCACCTTCATATATTCAGGCTACACATGAATATCCATTCAAAGACCAAACTTCAAGTTTCAAGCACTATCCCTTCACCCAATGCCGAATTTAGTGCCACTTAGCACTTTAGCACTACGTGTTTCTTTAAAACCTGTTCTATTTTTCAATTTCAGATACCAACAGAGACCTCAATATACAATTTGACAACTTCAGCTCTCTTCCTTCCCCCAATACCAAAATTTAGTACCATTTAGCACTTTTCGTACTATTATAGTGCACATTTCAACAATTCCAGAAACCAACAAAGACTTCAATATCAAATTCGATGGCTCCTGCCCTATCCATTCACCCATTACAAATTGTACTACTATTTAGTACTTTTCGAGCAATTATAGTACGGGTCAGAGATAAAGTTCTGAAATTTGATATTACGATAACTGTTGATATCTGAGGTTAAAATTTAGCGGTGGTTTTGGGAATGCCACCATCATATCTTAAACTCAGATTCCAACAGTAATCGTAATATCAAATTTCAAAATTATATCTCTATCACTTTTTCCAATACATAATTTAGTATCATTCAGTACTTTTCGTACAATTATAGTACACATTTCCGAGACCACATCCATATATCCAGGTTACACATGAACAGCGACCCTAATACCAAATTTCAAACTGTAAGCACTATCGTTCACCCAAAACTGAATTGTACCAAATAAAGCGCTATTTAAAACTTTTCGTGCACTTGTAGGACACATTTCCAAAACCACCTCCTTATCACAAACCAACTACCGCCAATACAAGTTTTCAAAATATCTACTTCATCCGTTCACCCTAAACCAAACTGTTCCAAATTTAGTACCATTTGATTCTCATAACTGTTTTGAGGTGTATCTGTTTAAATGGCAATATTTTTGAGAATTTTAGTACCATTTTAGAACTTTTCATAACCTTAAAGTTCGAGTTTCCAAAAAAACCCTTTGCACTCCAAAACATCCAAGAATAGTGGATTTTATTAAGAAAATATTTTCAAGGACAAAATGTTGGATTTTATAAAAAATATTTTCAAGGACTTCCAAAATCTTGGATAATTTCAAAAATGTTTTCAAAGGCACCTAAAAATAGTGAATTTTATTGAAAAAAAATATTTAAAAAGATTTCTGAGAATCGCGGATTTTAAAAAGATGTGTGGAATGTTAAGAATATTCTTAAGGACTTCCAAGAAAGATTTTCTGAAGAATATTTTCTAGGATTTGCAAGATCCCTGGATTTTTTGAAAAAAAATTTTCTAGGTCTTCCAAGAATCGTGGCTTTAATAAAGAATATTTTCTAGGAATTCCATGAATCGGGGAATTAATAAAAAAGATTTTCAAGGACCTCGAAAAAAACGTGGATTTTATAAAGAATATTTTCAAGGACTTCCAAGAATCGTGATTTTTTTAAACGATTTCCACGGATTGTGGATTTTATGAAAGTCCTTCAAGAAATGTGGACTTTATAAAAATATTTTCAAAAAATTGTGGATTTTTATAAAGGACCTTCAAGAATCGTGTATTTTATAAAAAATATTTTGAAGGATTGCCATGAATTGTTTTATAAAGAACCTTTAAAAATCGTGGATTTTATAAAAAATGTTTTGAAGGAACTCCATGAATTGTGGATTTTATAAAGGTGCTTCAACAATCGTGGATTTTATAAAATAATATTCAAAAAATCGTGCATTTTATAAAGGGCCTTCAGGAATCGTGGATTTTGTGAGAATTTTTTTCAAGGACTTCCAAGAATCGTGGATATTATAACGGAAAAGTGGATTTTACAAAATAATTTTCAAAAAAAAAACCTTGGATTTTATAAAATAATGTTCAAAAACTCACGAATTTTATAAAATAATTTTCAAAAAATCGCGGTTCCTCTTCTATTGAGCTTACGATCTCGTCACTTGAGTAAAAAATGTTTTTTTGTCATAGAAGTTATTTTTAAAATAACTTCTGGGGAGAATATCCCAGACAAAAAACAAGGGAACTGATGAGGATTGGTGGCTCTTACCGAAACCTAGGTATTCCCTGCCTTACCCCCTGGTAAACATTACCATCGTTCTCCACTAATAAACAAACGTTGTTTTTATAAAAACAACAATAAAAGGATTAAGCCTGACCATTTTGCAACAATAAAATCGCAGATTTTTTTTTAAAAAAAAATCAAAAAATCTTGCGTTAAATGAAGAACCTTCAAGAATCGTGGATTTTTAATGCACCTTCAAGAATCCGGGGCTTTCATGAATAGTGGATTTAAAAGTCTTCCAATATTATTAAAAATTATGGTTTCAAAAAATACAAAAAATTATTAATTGTTTGAAAAGTATTTTCAAGGACTTCAAGGTATCGTGGATTGTTTGAAAAATATTTTAAGAGCACTTTCAACGGACCTAATGATTCTTTGCAAAGAATCTTGAAATTCTTAAGATATAAAAAATTGATATTTTAAGTAAAAATTCAACGAAAGCTAACTTACTGAAAACTGGAAAAATTTTCAAAAACTTTTTGAATGCTTAAAAAACTAGGGACTTCCTAGATTAACAACTTGAATATTTTAAGAAAAAAGAGTACTTTCTGGAGTAAAAATCATGGGAAAATCTTTTTTTTCTACACTCCCCTTTTTTCAAACAATTTCCAAGGACCGTCTGCTAAAGAAAAAATACTTAAAAAACACTTTCAGACAAAAATCGAGATATTTTGAGACATTTTTCTTAATATCTTCCGAAAAAAAACCCTAGTATTATAACTTTTTGTTAGAAAACTCCTAAACAAAAACTAGGACTTCTGATAATATTTTCTTAAGGAGCTCCTGCACAAAAATAGGTGGATAATTTAAGAATTTTTTCAAGGACCTCCTAACGAAAATCGTGAATATTTCAAGTAAATATTTTTAGGGTCATCCATGTGGCAAATATTCTAGATTAACTGAATTAAAATCGGTTTGGGGTCTAAATAACCCAGAGCCGTTCCAAAACTTCATCTGACTACAATTCTTTCTGTTTTGGAAATTCAGAGACTGTAGATTGCTTGGCTACCCATATGTATAATAAAAAATGTCATTAAATGATTGAATGAGGAGATAAAAGCTCGGGCCCATAGCAAATACTGGAACAACATACAATTTTCTTTGCTAGTAGAAATTGGCAGCCTGAAATGTCAAAGTAGATCTAAACAAATTCAAAATTGTTGATTGAATCTAAAATCGGGACGTACAGTTGTTTTTCAGAACTCTAGAGAAAATAACGTGAACTCTATCTTGGTCAAATTTGCTACAATTAAAGGATAATGGATTTTGAAAATGGGTCGTATATTTTATTCCAATATTCTGGCAGATACCAGTCAGAAAAGATTTACGAATATGAGAAAGTGTTGTGAAGGAAGTTACAAATTTTTTTATACCTCCGTTTTATGGTGGGGTGGGGTGAGGGGTCTGTTCAATTTTTCCTACTCCAACAGTTAAAATGACCTTCGCTGACTATGCAGTTCTGGTCCGAACTTAATAAGACTTCTGAGATTTTCTCAATGTCACTGAGACCCAGTTTTGGACAATATACCAGACTCTCGTTCAAAATTAATACTTGTTATCGAATGTTGGCCCATATCACATATAAACACCAATTTTGTCCCCTTTGCAGCTCTCTGATGATACTCCAGACATAAATATTACATTTTCTAAAATACATCTACTACTAAAATACAACATTTGTTCTAGTCCCTCATAAATATTTCGGACAATAACTACAAAACACTTAATTTTATTCACCAACCTCGTTTTAAATTTTGCTTGTAATTGACAGTTGTTCCATTTTTTCCTTCGATATTTCGAAATTATTTATGCTTTCAATATTATTTTTTTTTTTCTCGCCTTTGTGTTATGCCGTTAATAATTTGATATGAATTTTATTTGTATTTGAAATTTTTGGTATTTTTTTTTTCTTCTTGCTTTCTTGGTTACATTTTCGTTTCTCGTTATTGGCTGGAAATCGTTGTCGCCGACTTGTTGATGTCGTTGCTGATATTGGCTGCTGGCCGTTGGTGAACAGGTCGTGATTGTGAAATCGATATTGATGAATGCGCTAATTCGCCGTGTCGTAATGGTGGCGAATGTGTGGACATGATTGGTAAATTCAATTGCATTTGTCCGCTGGGATATTCCGGTACATTATGTGAGGTAAGTGTGTTTGTGGAGATTTTATTTATCTTTTTTTTCGATTTTTAAGACTTTTTGAAACAATTTTTTTTCATTTTATTTATGTTTGCCAACAATTTGTTTTTAATGTTTATTAAATTATTTTGGTGTTTACATTGTTTTGCGCCTTGTTAAATTAATGAGATTTTAATGATGGCCAAAACATAAACTGCTTAACAAAGTATCATTTATTGTCCAAGTTGTCGTTGTAACGCTATTGAATACAATTTATTTATGGTTGACTTTTATTGCCTCGTCTGTTGATTGTGAGAACAAAAGACTCAAGACACATACATGGTGTTAACAGGCATTACCACGGCGGCAATTGTCTTAAGCAAACTTAGCTTCGCTTGTCTTACGCTCGCCTCCTTCAGCTCCATAACTTGACAGATTTCCATTGTTTGAACCTCCCAAAAATTGTCATTTTGATAATGGAAAGTATAACGAATTATTGAAATGGCATTGCACAATTTTCGGAAATTATTGAATTTTCAATTATTTATGGTTCGGGGTGTAACAATGTGCAATGAAATGGAGAAATAGAAATAGGAGCTAGAGGCAAGAGAATATGAACATTTAAAAACGAGATCAAGAGTCTTAAAAAATTGAATGGGTTATAGAAGTGGTTTAGGAAGAAGGTCTTTTCCGCAGAATAGCAGAAGGTCGTATTTCTAGAAAAGAAGTATGTTTTCTTTATAGAAGACCAGGCAGGTCTTTTCCATAGAGAACCAAAAGATCTTCCCCACAGAAGTCCAAAAGTTCTTCTTCTGCATAGACAACAAGAAGGTCCTTTCCATAGAAGACCAGAAGTTCATCTCCATAGCAGACAACCAGGTCTTCTTCTTCATAGAAGCCCAGAAGGTCTTCTTCATAGACACCAAGAATATCTTTTCCATAGTAGACCAGGAGTTCATTTCCATAGAGAGTCTTTTCCATAAAATACCAGAAGGTCTTCTTCGCCATAGAAGAGCAGAAGATCTTTTCTCTAGAAGAGCAGAGGGTCTTCTCCATAGAAGAGCAGAAGGTCTTCTTCGCCGTAGAAAGCAGAAGTTCTTCTTCTCCATAGAAGAGCAGAAGGTCTTCTTCGCCATAGAAGCCCAGAAGAAGGTCTACTTTTCCATAAAAGCCCAGAAGAAGGTCTTCTTCGCCATAGAAGAGCAGAAGGTCTTCTTCGCCATAGAAGAGCAGAAGGTCTTCTTCTCCATAGAAGAGCAGAAGGTCTTCTTCGCCATAGAAGCCCAGAAGAAGGTATTCTTCTCCATAGAAGCCCAGAAGAAGGTCTTCTTCGCCATAGAAACCCAGAAGAAGGTCTTCTCTTCTCCATAGAAGACCAGAAGAACTTCTTCAGAAAACCAGAAGAAGGCCTTCTTCTTCATAGAAGACCAGCTGAAGGTCGTCTTCTCCATAGAAGATCAGAAGAAGCTCTTCTTCTCCATAGATTACCAGAAGGTCTTCTCTTCTCCAAAGAAGACCAGAAGTTCTCTTACTCCACAGAAGACCAATAGGTTTTCTTTATTTGTAGAGGGTCAGAGAGCCCTCTCCCTGTCAGATTTTTACCATAAAAGCCCAGCCAAAGGGCCTTGGACTGGTACTCCATAACCAGAAGACTTTGAATAGGTCTTTTGTGGCTGAAAGACCTCTAACAGGCCTTCTGGTCGTAGAAGACGTTTGACAGGTCTTCTATGGCTGAAGAACATTTGACATGTTCTCTGTGCCTAGAGAACCTCTTACAGGCCTTCCCTAAACAGAAAACTTTGGATAGAATCGGAAGACCTTTGACAGACCTTATGCGCCTGGAAGACCTTTGGTAGGTAATCTATTGCTAGAAGACATCTGAAAGGTTTTCTGTAACCAGAAGACTTCTCCGACGCCTTCCATAGCTACAAAGTTTTGGACAGGTATTCCATAGCCGCAGGACTTTGGATAGGTATTCTATGATCGGAAAAGCTGTGAGGATCATTCGTGCGTAAAAGGCGTTTGACAAATCTTCTATGGTTTTGACGGTAGGTCATCTATTGCTAGAAGACATCTGAAAGGTTTTCTGTAACCAGAAGACTTCTCCGACGCCTTCCATAGCTACAAAGTTTTGGACAGGTATTCCATAGCCGCAGGACTTTGGATAGGTATTCTATGATCGGAAAAGCTGTGAGGATCATTCGTGCGTAGAAGGCGTTTGACAAATCTTCTATGGTTTTGACGGGTCATCTGTGTTAGGAATACCTCCAAAAGTCATTCTGTGTCTGTAAGGTTTCTCTTTTGTAGACCTTGCCAGAAGACCTGTCACTGGCTGGCTTCATTAATATAGCCCTTGGAGGAATCGGTCTTCCCCATAAACTCCTTACTCCCATTATTTTCCAAGTTTATGGTGAATATCTGTTATTTATGTAGCAGGCTGGTTGTGATACCCTAATGAGAGAATGTCTTATGGTTCCTAAGTAAGCTTCTTACCATTCACACACATACACACACACAAACATAGAAACTTCGTATCACTGTCACGGCCAATAATAAAAACATAAAGTTTGTGTCTTAAGTCTTTTGTTTCATTTACATATTTCCTTTTTAAAGTCTCTTAACAAACAGACATTTAAAAACTCCCCATCTTTACCAGCTAATTTATATGTTTCACATAGCAACATACACATACGGCACATACATATGTAAGTAATCGGCGGAACACGATTTTGCGGGCATGACATTGTTACAATTTAAATTACCTTTTTGGTCGATACAATTTAAACTATAAATAAGCATTTAAATAATGTTTCTATCGACACCTTCTTCCACCGAAAAAAAAAAAACAATCGAAAACAAAAAAGAATGTCAGCCGAAAAAATCACAAAAAAATAAAGCAATTAACAAAACGAAAATAAGGTTGATGGTGACAAATGAGTGGTGAGGAAGATATTTAATATTCTGCCCACATCGGGAGTGACACATTCATAACATTGATGGAATAATAAAATTGTAGCAATGGACGAATACCATTCCATCGCAGGCAGAGTAACACCTCGTGAAACTCTAATAAATTTCCATAGCGACAATGAAAATACAACAAAAAAAAAAACAACTTTGGGAATAATTAAAATGAGCTCAAATTATTTTTTTTTTTTCTTCGGCTGGGTATTCGACAGTATCTGATAATTTATGCCCACAAATTCTTTGTTGTTCCTCCTGTTGCTGCTGACTGGCTGCCCGGCAATTGTGGTGGCATATTTATAACAAAACTTAAATTGCTCAAATCTTCCAAAATTGAGTTTTAATTTAAAGCAAATGCCATTGTTTCATACAAATTATCGATCGTTAAGTCTTTCAACGAATGACCGGCCACATATTTTGTGGGCTTTATTGGTTTCAATACATTTTGGTCATACATAAGAAGCATTGGCCACAAAGTTGGTGGAAAGGAAACTACACCGGGCAAAGAGCCAAAAAAAAAACAGTTTAAGTAGACCGTGGAATACACAGCAACTTGGGTGATGATAGTTAGCTGAAGGACTGTAGTTTTGTGCGAAAAAAAACTGTGCAGTATTTTTTCAAAAAAAAAAATAAATAAATAAATAAAATAAAACCAGTAAAGAAAGTATTAAAATTGGGCGGGCCGACTTTATGATACCCTAAACCACTTTGCTAATTTAGTGGAGCTCCACATTTCAAAAGACTAAATATGCCGAAGCATTTGTATCTTTTAAATTCGGACTTGTATTGCCCATTTGATATATATGGGAGCTATAGCTATATCTGAACCGATCATCACCAAATTTGACATACTAGCTTCTAGACTCAATTCGGTCATAAGTGCCAAATTTCATCCCATCTGGGCAAATATTAGAAGTTTGGTGTACAATAAAAGGTAAATCGGACGAAGTTATATGTGGGAGATATATCCAAATCCGAACCGATCTCGATAAAATTTAGCAAAGGTATTTCTGAGCTGTATTTGATATATTTCGCCAAATATTGTTGTTACAGAGTGCATTTTACCGCTGCGGAGGACAAAAATAACAAATCGGATGAACAATATATGTTGGAGCTATAGCTATATCTGAAGCGATTTCGATCAAATTTGTCATACTTATATTCAGGCCTAATTTGGTTGTATGTGCAAAATTCCATACTATTCGGGCTGATATTACACGTTTGGTGCACAATGAAAGGCAAATCGGACGAAGAAATATATGGGAGCTATATCTAAATTTTTACTGATTATCTCCAATTTCAATAGGGTTTGTCCTTGGAACAAACAAATGATTTGTGCTAAATTTCATCTGGATCGGATAATAAATGCGAACTATACTTTGTTCAGAAAAATACAGAATGTGATTCTATGCAGATCATCAAAAGGAACTATGGGTCTATCTCGTTTCCTTTTGCCTGTTACAAACAAATGCACAAAGACATAATACCCTGAACACCTTGTGGTGTAGGGTATAAAAAGCGACGTGATCGAAGCCCGCGTCACCGTGGCCGAAAAATCGCTCGTGAGCTGAACATATCGCAATATTCCATGCGCAAATATTGAAAAATGAGCTCAGGGTAAAGCCATTGAAATTCCGAAAAATAGGCTCATAAGAGCTTAAGAGTTGCTTCGCTTGGCTGAAGGTGGTGAACTGCCAAATTTGAGGTCAGCTGAAAATGTGCACCTTCGGTTGACCACCAGAACTCAAACGCCTCACATGATGATGGTGTGGGCCGCCATAACAGCCGATGGTCGCTCTCCGCTCGTATTAATCGACCGTGGCATCAGAATAATGCCAAATATTATTGCGAAAATATTCTAGAGGGTGTATTAAAGCCTTGGGCACGCAAAACATTCAGCACCATCGCACTCAGAACGCTCCAGCCAAAAATGGTTACAAAATGAGGTTCCTCGCTTCATTTCCAGGGCACAATTGTGTCTGGAGTATTCGGGAAAGCAAGGTTGGCACTAAAAAATTCCATAGTGTTGATAACCTCAAGCAAGCGCTTAGCCGGGAATGGCC